AAAAAAAAAAAAAAAGAATGAAGTTAGACTCTTAACTTGCACAAGAAGAAAAAAATATTGACCCAAAATGTACCAAAGATCAATTTTTCTTTAAATTCTATGTTACTGAACTCAGAATTTATCACTTGGAAGTCCCTCAAATAGACCAAACACAAAATTTTTCATAGAAAGAATAGTTTCCTTTCTGTGGGTAATGGCAGCAAAAGAGGTTAAGTTCCCACAGACATTCTGTCTAAATGGGAAAAGGTTTTTGTTCATTTTTTTAAAGGTTAAGAACACTTTAAAATGAGACAAAGGAGTCTGGATGGTACTGTTCATTGCAGGTATTTCATACTTCTACATGTGTGGCAGGTTCAGAAATTCGTTCAACTCCTCCCAGAGGTGGAGATTTTAATATATTAATGAGCCTGGTATGAATATTAGGTTATAAGGAAATTAATTGTCCATCCTCTGTATTCTTTCTGGTGCAGTGGACCATTCAGCTTGAAGCTGGTATCAGAATGAGATAGTTTTTACTTAGACATTGTGTTACCTTTAAGTATTCAAATGTGGAGCCCTCCCTGGTGGAATAGTGGGTTAAAGCACAGCACTGTGAAGCTCTCAGCAGCCACTGCAGCAGCCAGAGTCACATGGCACCGCAGACCTCTCCTATCTCGCCTGCTGCTCCCCTCAGCATTGAATTTCGGTCAGTCCACCTGTGCTGTTTCCCCACTCTGTCTCTAGTGAATCCTTCACCCCGTCACCTCTGGCCTCTACCCCAGTTCTTGTTACATAAATGAATCTTTTAAAAAAAAGTAGTGACATTTGATTGATTACACACTAATGTTCTTGAGTAAATCAGAGTAGAACTCTAGCTGGCCTAAAAGGACCAGTTTTAACATTAACAATATTGTTTTCAGTAAATGAAGTTTTAATTCTTTGCTTCTCCATATGTTGAGATCTGGAACTGTCTTAAGCCATTTGCTCCCCAATTCACTAAGATCCTTGTTGGACAACGCATATATAGCACATGATATTGTCTTGGTCTTATTTCATTTGGCATAATATGCTCAAAATCTCTCCAGGCTGTTGCAAATGGTAAGGTTTTGTTATTTTTTATGAGTGAATAATAATATTCCAGTGTCTGTGTCACTTATGAAATGATGTAAAAAAAAGTGAGTTTTCAAAAAACATTGAACCGTGCTAGATGACATTTAAACTTTTTATTTATAAAGGGAAATTTAAGTGACAAAATTTGCTAGGATATATTTATTTTTAAAGATTTATTTATTTATGGATACAAGAACTGGAGTACAGGCCAGAGATGGGGGTTGGGTGGGAGGAGTCGCCAGAGACAGATTGGGGAACAGAACAGGTGGATTGACTGAAACACACTGCTGAGGGGAGTAACCTGGAGGGACAGGAGAGGTCTGCCACGCCATGTGGGTCATTTCCCTGACTCATGATGGATCGCATGCTGCAGTGGATGTAGATAGATTCATAGTGCTGTGCTTTAACCCCTTGTGTCACTAGGAGGGCCTAAAACCTATTTTTTAAAAATGCACTGGTTTCTAAGGAAACTTCTCTCCAGGTTATAATATAACCGGATAATGGATATCTAAGATGTTTTGCCAGGAGGGAAAACATTATAGCTCCTTATTGAGGAAATCTGTTCTCTGACATGTAGAACCAACTCTCCAGATTCAGCGAAACCTTTGGGCTCTATCAACCACTTTCAAGAAGTCTCAGAAATTACAGAAATGTAAAACCTTTTCAATTAGGTTAAATATTTCTATGAGATTTCATTCATCGTTTAGAGAGCATGTTATGTGTGAAACAAGTGGTGTTTTATTTTTTCAGGCTTTTCTGTCTGAGAGCCCTTCTGTCTTGCAAAACCTGTGGAATATTTAAAAAATAATAGTAACATTATTAAACTCAACATTCTTGAATATCAGAAAAACATCAACTTTAATCACTCGTTTTAGATGCTATTGAGAGCCTGCAGGTGATGAATGACACTGATGAAATGCATTGTTTTATGAGTGTCAGAAAGACTATCATGGAATTTCTTCTTCAAATCAGAATGCCTCGGTATATTTCCTCATCTTTTCTGAGACACGGCGGCGAGCCTTGCAGAGGCAGCACCACGTAGCAGTAAAAGCCATCACCGCTCAGTAGTTTCCCAAGAACGCAGGTTTGCAAACACGTGCCCTGGCTTTCCCGAGGGAGTCAGGTGGCGCATGCACAAACAAATTTCCCAGTCGAAATCAAGTGCTATCAGGCGTGGGCATCAGCCTCCTGGAGCTCCTGGAGCATGCGGGTACGTGTCCTGGTGGAGAATGAATCAGTCTGGCAGCGACGGAAAGCTGGTATGTTCATTTATAAAACAGGAATTTTAACATTAAAAAAAATTTTTAATAGTTTTCTTCAAATACAAATGTATTTATTAATCATTGTGTGACACCTACTAATTTGCAGTCAGCCACTAGGAAAATTGACCAAGGACTGGGAAAAAAAGAATTCACAGAAAAGTATAAGTAGGGCTTAAAAATACAAAAAGATTTTTAGTATCAGTTGTAATACACTGAGCTACTAGTTTTTATTTATCAGATGAGTAAACATTGAAATGTTTGGCGGTAAATACAGGAGGGTGTGGGGAAACAGGCTCTCCCATGCTGCTAAGG